CCCCTGTGAAAAGGAATATCTGCCTTCCAGGGGCCACCTCTTCATCTGCTGTGCATCCCATCATGCAAAATTACAAACCTCTAATTATCTGTCTGGCAGCCGGCCAGGGTGCTGACTCCACAGCTTAGGGAGCTGGCTATGCTGCTGGGAAAAGTGAGGCTAGAAAGCCAATGAACAGCCCTTAGGCTAAGGCAAATGCATTTATGCTGTTATGAGCCTGGTGCAGCTTTGCTTACTTGTGTGAACAGCAGCTGTAAGAGACAGGTGAAGGGGTCACACCTAAAACAGGCCTATTAGAGACTGTGCAGAAACTAACTCCACATGAGAAGAGAGTTCCACTTGGTATTGAGAACACACACAAACTGAGAACAGACAAGCATGGAGAGAGAGGCAGAGGCCAGCCTGTGACCTTGGGGAAGGCCAGAGCGCATTCTGGGCTCTCCTGACTTGAGAAGGCAAATTAACGGCTCCTTTTGTTCTTGGTTCCTCCTGCATTCTGAGAAGCAGGACTTGGTGCGCTCCTGTACATCCACATGGTTGCATTAAGACGAATTCCAGACTCCGCCACTTTCCACTTCTAACTGGAACATCCTCAGGGCCTCAAAATCTGATCAGTCACTCAGGTCAAAAAAGGAGCAATAAATACATACTATGGGTGCCAGAATCAATTACTCCCTGCAAGAGTTCACCCCTCCAGGAGTCAGGTAGATGGGAACTTAGCTACCCATTGGTGGTCTGTGCTCATCTGCTGATTGTTCAGTTTGAATGAGTAGAGACGAGTTTCTCTGCTACCCAAAACAATGCCGAGCCAAGCTTTAGACAGCTGGGCCTCTACAATACTCGCTTTTCCCTCTTCTTCTTACCCCTTTCCTTCACGCTGGAGGCCAAATCTACCTACCCTTCCAGATGAGGAATGGCTGTGACTCTATTCAAAGCCTACCAAAGCCACTGAGATGCCACATGGGTTGTGGGATTCAAAGCCCAGGTTTTCTGCACAGAATGAAAGAGGAGACGCACTAGCCATGGGGCCTGCCTCTCCTTTCCCAGCAGCAACATGCTTCCTACTCTCCCCTTCCCCATTTCTTAGGGTGCACTTCGTGTCAGCTTCATGCTACCCGCCCACAATCAAGTTCCCTGCTGCTTTTGCTGTGAGTCGCTAGCACAGTCTGCTGCACGGGATTCCTTAACGTACTTCCTGAGCTTTTTCATGCCGACAGGCAATTTCTACACTGATTTTAAATAACTACTTGCCCAATCCACCTTCCCATCTGCCTATGTAACGGATATCACACTTAGGATATCGGCTGTGAACCCACACCCACAACTCCCTTGTAACACTCTTCTTGCTGGAGTGAAGACCCCCTGATTCCTAGTGCTTATAAGTTAATATTGCCCCTCTCCTCCCTGGATGAATGTGGGATTGGGGTGGGGAACACAGTTGGAAAACTAAAGTCTTCAACAGAAAGTCTCTGCCCACCCCATGATTTCAGTAGGCTTTGCATTCAACCCCTAAAGAAGCACAAAACTGGTCTGCCCAGCAGGGCCCACCCCCCCCATTCCATTGTGATTCTGGGAACGCTGAAGTCAGCTTGTTTTTTACCTCCTTGTAGATGTTGGAAGGATGGTCTCTCCGGCCACACAAATCTGTTATCGTCTTACAACAGCTGTCTGGGAATTTCCGCCCTCCAGCTTCCCCGGATTTGATCCACAAGCTCTCACTCCAGTCTGTAGCATTATTGCTGCCGCAGCACTTGAACTGTACGAGCACAAGAGCACAGGATGAATTGGCAGCTTGTCACCAGACAGCACAGCCCCCCCCCCCCCCATATCTATCCTCACTGCATCATGCTCCTAATTATGCTTCCCCCCTACAGCATCGTCAATCGGTGAGTCCAGCTGCTTATGTCAGCCTGTGTGTCTATCAGCTGCTATAATTATGAGTGACCTTTGTGTCTAAGATGCCTAAAAATGTCCCTTAAATGTCTGTAGGGCCTCTCTTTTGACCAGCTTGACCTCAGTGTCACTTACTTCTCAGTACAGAGGCAAGCCTAGCCACAGCGGAGCCAGGTCTGCAGCTACTTCTGGCTTTGACAAAACTGAACAATACCAATCATGCTCACGTTGCATCATGTTACAGATCACAGTGGGCAACTCCGCTGTTCGGCACGCCCACAGCTCAGGGGGTAGCAGAATGGGCTTGTTCTCCGGGTGGGTCCCTGCACAGCCGTCCGTCTCTCATCCCACTCATGGGAAGAACTCATGCTATCAGGCCATGAAGGGCTGCATCCATGTACCCCATTGCACATTCATGGCAGCAATGAGGGGAAGGGCAGGCTTGTGGCTAAGGACTGAGAATCAGGAGAGGAGAGCTCAATTCCTATCTTCATCACAGACATCACTGAGTGAGTTCTTTAGTCTCTCTTTGCCTCTGCTTCCTTCCCTGTAAAATACCCAACAGTGGCAAACAATGTTCCCTCTAATCTTTTCCATTCATGTGCAGAATACATTTTATGTGCACCAAGGCATGTGTAAATGTGCACCACCAGTAGAAAGACAAACCTCGCTGTGGGCACTTGGCTTATTAGCTGGATGGCATTTAAATCTTTCCTGAGTGGCCACACAACCACACAGCTTTCAGGGAATGGTGGCAAAGCCCGGATTAATGGTTGTGTATTGCCCTGAGGTCTTCAGTCAGGAGGCCTTACAGAACTGCCAGTCAGTATTATTCATTCACAAACTGCTGAAGACTGGACCTCTCTCTACTTGCGATCTAAACAAGCCATAAGCCGTCAACTTCATGGAATCCCTTGCCTCAAGAATGGCATCAGGATACAGTAAACACTAGAATATATGCTGAGCTGCTCAATACCTCAACACGGGGTATGAGAAAGCAGCCCAGAATGGGGAACATGAGAAAACCACCAGGACAGGCCCTCCCAGTGATGTGGGAGTCAGTTCTAAAGCCGGCACAACCTGCCCGAAAACCACATCCTGCATTGCACATGTATTGTAACGGAAGTGGGAGTCAGGCAGTGGGACGTCAACTTGGTGTGTGTTGGAGTTAAGGTGGATAGCATGGGTGGTGCACATTCACATATGCCTTGGTGCACATACAATTTATTCTGCACATGGATGGAAAAGATCAGAGGGAACATCCCCTGGGAGCAGGTGAAAATTATTGGATTATGAAGTTACCAAGACTGTTCAGCCATTCCGACTGTGTAGTCACTCCATCTCTCTGGCAGTGCCCCATGCAACAGTAACAGCAGCAACAGGGTATTTGATTCATTATGCTTCACTGTCAGGGGTATTGGGAAGTTTAATTAAGATCAGCAATTTGCCCACGCCCCTCTGCTTACATTTTGTAGACAAGCCATAGGAAGCTCTATGGCTAACGTCTAGACTGCATCCCTCTGTTGACAGAGAGATGCAAATCAAGCACGTCGAAATTGCTAATGAAGCAGGGATTTAAATATCCCATGCTTCATTAGCATAAACATGGCCACCGCATTTTTCGAAATGGAGCTTTTTCGAAGAAAAAAAAGCAGTAGTCTAAAGGCAGATCTTTCGAAAAACGAGGTTATTAGGATCTTTTGGAAAAAGACTTTATTTTTCAAAAGATCCGCGTCTAGACTGCCATTTTTTCCCAAAAAACCTTGGTTTTGAAAAAAATGGCGGCCATGTTTATGCTAATGAAGTGCGGGATATTTAAATCCCCGCGTCATTAGCAATTTCAATGTGCCTAATCTACATCTCTGTCAACAGAGAGGTGTAGTCTAGACACAGCCTATCAGTATAGAACTGCCCAGCACTAGTTCATACAGGAAGTGACTGAAATGCTACCCTACCCCTTTCAATCAATCATGGTGCTCAGACAGCAGGAGTCCCAATCTCTGACAGCAGAGGCAGCATTCAGCACCATATCCATCCTATCTGAGAATGGGGGTCTGATGCTTGTAAGCCAGGTGCCAATTCTGAACCCTGACAAATTCAGCTGGAAATCAGACCAGCTCAACTTGTTTGTTAATATTGTCCAAGGCAGGTATTAAATCTGTGAGGATGTGTTGAGTATTTTCAGACCCCGTAGGATTTGTAAGTAAGTTGCTGCATGCATTAATCTTACTTGTAAGGTTTGTCTCCTGTGTTATAAGGTATTATGAAAGTTTTGTTTTATTATTGTAAAAATGCCTGCTCTTGTGAACCTAGGCAACAAAACTGTCTCCTCCACCCATCATATAGGACGAAATCCTTGTTGATTACCACTACATGCATCTGACGAAGTGGGTCTTTGCCCACGAAAGCTTATGCTCCTACACTTCAGTTAGTCTATAAGGTGCCACAGGACTCCTCGTCGCTTTTGCAGATTCAGACTAACACGGCTACCCCTCTGATACTTGTTGATTACTGTATCCACTCATGAAGAAGTTACATGTAGAAGTGCACTTCCCACAGTTTGAACTCTGGGGGAAGGGTATATAAAAGACACTCACAAGAAAAAAAAATTATTATAATCTTTGCTGTTGGGATTCTCGCAAGAGTTGGAGTTAGGAAACAAAAGCAGAGATGCCTTGGGTCAACATGCCCTAAGAGACACTCAGGCTACTTCTACACTATGACTTTTGCTGGAAGAGGCAATTCAAATAAAGCGTGGATTAGCATTTTCTCATGCTTCATTTGCATAATCTCTTCCGATCTGTTTTTGCGCAAAGGGTTTTTGTGCAAAAACAAGCAGTGTGAACATTTCCTTTTTGCACAAAACCCTCTTTTTGCGCAAGATCCTTATGCCTCTCTGCTAATCCGTGCTTCATTTGCATTGCCTCTTCCAGCAAAAGTCATAGTGTAGACGTAACCCGAGTGACTAGATGACTACATCTTGGTCACTTTTTGGACCTTACGACTGTAATTCATTTGCATTTATATGTTGCCTGGTTCAATCCATAAGTAAGTGTCTCACACTTCATTTTCCTAGTTAATAAATCCTTTAAATAGTTGACTATAAGATTAGCTACTAGAATTGACTTTGGTATGAGATCTAAGGTACAACTGGCAAGTTTCTTGGGACTAGAAGCAAACTGAATACTTTGTGGTTTGTGTGTAAGTGACCTAATTCTAGCTTAGTTTGAGAAGACAGACCGGAGAGCCCAAGGCAACTATGGGAGAATCCTAGATCACTGTACCGGTCTTACCATGGAATTAATATCTGCTATTGCTTTGGTGAAATCCAATCACAGCACATATCACCAGTCTGAGGTCTCTACCCTGTTTTCTGACAGCCTGATCTGAGGCTGGCATATGCAGCTGTGAACCACTCCACAAAGCATGGCCCCCTTTATCTTTTCAATGACAGGAGCCCGTGATCTAAGGATGATGTAATTTTTAGCTCTATCATAGGTTTCAGTCTCCCTCTGTCTTTGAGACCTACCTCCTGCTGCAGTTTGTCCACCGCACTGGTCACACTCTCCTCACCTTCCTGCCGGTACTTCTTGGTCATGGTCTCCTTGAGGTTTTGCTTCAGCTCCAAACTCAGCTAAACAAAAAGGCAAGTGGGGGGAGAGATGTGTGTGAAATCATAAGGGGACACCTTCCTTATGGTCGTCCCCCCCCCCCTTGATATTTCCTATTGTCCTCTCTTCAGGAAAGCAGCAGAGAACTCTGTGGAACCTATAACCTCATAAAATGCCCCCTCCTCCAGTGTAGATCCTACTGGCTCCAGGAAAGCACATGCCCTTATTTCTGCCTCTCCCAGCTCTTTCAACATCATTCTTCCAGTTTAAAAGGGCAAAAGTCTCTCACTGAGCCAAAGCTAAGTCAGTCTGTGGCAGGCCCCACTGCATGGTTCCCAGCACAGAATGAGTTACATCCAGCTGGAGAGGCCTGCCCCAAAACAGGATTCCTTTTCTCTAACAATCTCATTCCTGCCTTGTGAATATTCCGCGGGTATCAAAGAGGCCCTCCCACCTCTAGAACAGGGACTGCAGGAGTATTAAAAAACAAAAAGATCCAGAGAGGAGTGTTCAGAGTTCAGAGTCCTGGGCCTACTGGGCTGGCGTTATGCACTCTAAACACCTTCTGCATCAGTGACGAAAAGGAAGTCGCACAAGGGGATTGCAAGCAGGTGGAGGGACCTTCTAACTCTTGCCTCCCTGGCTCCAAGCAGCCTTTGTGGTACTAGGGATATGTTCAGAAAGCAAGAAAGACATTACTCAGACAGAGGAGCTGATATTTGGGGCATGGTAAGATGGAAAGTGTCCTTTACTGCGAAAGGCTAACACTCAGACAAATATATGCACAAAACTCTCACTGGCAATCTGTGGTCCCCCAGCCAGTCATGTCCTTTCCCTGTATTTCCTGCCCATCCCAGCTCAAACAAAATGTAACTAAAATTGGCCCCCTCTCTCATTAGGGATGTTGAATTGAATCAACTAGTCGATGAATTTTCCATCGACTAGTCGATAAGCAGGGAGCAGCAGCAGGGTTAGCTCCCGGCCTAGGAGCTAACCCCTATCGGCTCTTAATCCATCTAAAAGGCTAAAGCACAGCAGCAGGAACCCAGCACTAGCCAGGACAGCTGATTCCTGGCTTGCACTGAGTCCCTCCTGCTGTGCTTTAGCTTTTTAAATGGAGGCTGGTGCACAGCGGGGGGACCCTGCGCAAGTCAGGAATCAGCTGTCCTGGCTTGCGCTGGGTCCCTGCAGCTGAGCTTTTGCCTTTTAAATGTCTTAAGAGCCTTTTGGATCTTAAGACATTTAAAAAGCAAAGGCGTGTCTGGGACTAGACAAGAGCTGGGAATCAGCTGATTCGCAGCTCACGCCTGGTTGCCGCTACCCCACTGCGCCCCATAGAGACGGCACTGGGGGGAATTGGCCTTTAAGCCGGCTTTCCCCAGTGCTGGCTCTCCACCCCACTCCCCCCCTTAGGCAGCAAGGGGCAGGGGAGGCGGGAGGGGAGTGATTAGTCCCTCAACTATCCAATAAGCTTTTGCTTATTGGATAGTCAACTAGTCGCTTACATCTCTATTTCTCATTAGCCTCCGCCTGCCTGATCCATCCAGTAAGGATGCCATAATCCAGTGCTGGCACACTTCTTCTCCCTTGCTCTGGAACAATGTGATACCATGTGTTAAGATGGCATTGCCAAATAAACTAAATGGGAGGAAAAGGCCAGATAGCTAGAGAAAAGCATCTCTATGTATGTTATTTCTAAGTAATAAGCAGTAATTGCTGGGAGGACTGCAGAAGAACATCATTTTGGTTGCAACGTGTTGGGGGAATATGGCCCGAGGTCCCCTCCCCTTCAAATCTGCTGAATACAGTAGTAGCTCTCCAGCCCCCTTCTGCCACGTGGGGGAAATACCTACCTCCCAGCGATGATGTGATACTCCATTCACTAACGTTTGCAAAGTGCTTTGAGATCTTGAGAAGGAAGGCTCTTTAGAAGCGCAAGGGTTTTAGTGGAGCAAACACAAGAAGGTTTGGCAGCTCATGGGCACCCAAGGCAAACAAAGAGAGAGTGTCCACTAGTGGAAACATTACTCAGGAGAAAAGCAGTTACCTGTGGGCTCACGGGGAAGAACTGCAGCATGGAACAGAGACAGCAAAAGAAACACACAGTTTATACACATGCACGCGTTGGACATGACAGCAAGGGAAGGGGAGAAAGAAAACCAACTGCAAAGGAGAGTAAGCAGCCTGGGCCCAAGAAAGGTAGGATTTTTACATAAAAAAAAAACAAAACAAAACAAAAAAAAAAACCATGGGTTGGGGGAGGGCGAGAGAGGAGGAGGAGGGAAATAAGTGCAGAGAGTAAACCAAATGCCATTGGGTGATCTACAAAGCAGTCTGCAGCTCTGCCAGAGAGACTACAATTCCCAGCATGCCGTGCTCCCCATTGAGCTAAGAAAATTCTGCCATTTCATCCACTGCTCCCATGTGTTACTTTAGTGTTTGCTCATATCGGGTTGGGGGAGGGCGAGAGAGGAGGAGGAGGGAAATAAGTGCAGAGAGTAAACCAAATGCCATTGGGTGATCTACAAAGCAGTCTGCAGCTCTGCCAGAGAGACTACAATTCCCAGCATGCCGTGCTCCCCATTGAGCTAAGAAAATTCTGCCATTTCATCCACTGCTCCCATGTGTTACTTTAGTGTTTGCTCATATC